GCTGCTCCAAGGGTCATTCATGGGAAATGAGAGGTTTTTATTTCTGTTACCAGCACTGGCACCTGATTTCTAACTGGGAAATGAACTCACGGCCATTAATCAGGAGTCCTTAATAAATACAAGCCTGGAATAATTAATTGAACTGTCCCACTGTGGCCAGGCTGGGTTGGCACTTTGGCTCTCTCAAGCCACTCCCGGGATGTCTGACTGAGCTGTAGCCAGTGGGAGGGCACCGGTTCCAGAGCAGAAAGTGGAATTTGAGAGGTGTCTCCAGCCTTAGGTATCAAACCCTCGGGCTTGTGAGCACCTGTCAGTGGGTCCTGAACCACCCTCCTGCCGGTGAGTTCAAGGCAATGTGCTGTGCCACGTCTCCTCTGCCACAGGCAGGGCTGCCAGAGCAGATCCCCGCACCTCCAGGCACGGTCTGGGTGATGCACAAAGCTGCGGCTCCAACACGCAGAGCGGCAGCTCCAGCGCTTGCATAAGTGACAGCAGCCTTTGGAAAGTGTCCTGGTATTCCCACAAGCTGCCACGACCACGTTAACAGCCTGACTGCAGCTAATGAAGCGCAGCCAAAGCAGAGATTTGGGGTGGTAACGTGAGAGATCAGCCTGCGCTCCTCCCTGCTGGGCTGTGCCCGCCCTGCTCCGTGCCCCGGCTTCCCGGCTCTGGCAAGCATGGAGCTGTCAGGATTGCTGCTCAGGTGACTGAGAAACTGCTTCACAAAAGCAAAACAGAGGGGGAAAAGGCCGGAGGGAGAGATGGGGCATCACTCTTAATTGCATGGTTTCGATGTTCTGCTTATAGCAGCCAGCACCTCCCATGTGTTTGCCAACACATATCTGATACCCAGCAGCAGTTCTCATCATACCTGAACGATAGAGGCAATCTGTGCACAGCCACCAGGATCCATCCCTTGGGCCAGCACAGGAGCAGTAGTCCTGGCTCCAGAACACATCCTGCAGGCACGGGGCAGGGGTGCAGGAGAGGAGGCAGGGAGAGCTGCAGGACACCCTGCATCCCTATGCTCAGGCCTCTCCTTTGAGCTCTGAGCTCACAAATTGTCCTCTCACATCTTGTGATAAGATCTGGGGAATGGGAATATGGAGAAGTGGCTCTGCCCATTGTAGGTCTTGAGGTGCTTATGTTTGTCTTTCCTAAGAGCCAGCCTCACATCCTCAGTCACAGGGGGCAAGAGGAAAGCTTGCACAGGGCAGGCTGAGAAAGTATTGAGAGGTAATGGCTGAGCACTGGCTTTTCTTCCCCAAACTTTATTTTCTAATTCTCACGATTGATTAATATGATCATAATACTTTAGGGGCTGAATTTGCATTTACAAGGCTTGAAATCAGCAGGGTCAGACTGCAGCCTTCTCTGCATTAGGTACCCAGGACAATGCAACACCATTGGATGTGCATCCAACCACTCCACCCCAGAAGCCACCTCAGGTGGCCACAGTCCCTCTCAGGATGGGAATGATCCAGCACCACCACAGCAAATCCATTTCCAGCTCCTTTGGGTGACTCACCCCTCTTCTACAGCCTGTCATGCACAGGTTACAGCATCAAATACAGGGGTAGGTGCCCTGTTGCTGCCTGGTCAGGGCATTGTCCCATGGCAGCAGCAGGGACATCCTGCAAACCCCTTCAAATCCCAGGAGGAAGATACCAGCTCTGCCTGGGCAGACCTTGATAATGGATAGGGCATGAAGCTTCTCTCCCAGGCTGGGAGAAGGGAGATGAATCACCCCACCAGCCTGGTTCCCCAGCCTCTCCCCCCTGCTCCCCAGGGACAGCACAGAATCCCTTCCCTTCACTCCTTGTCTTGGTGGACAGCGAATTCTCACCTTGAGACGAGTGGAAATGGCAGCTGGAATGTGGGCTGGAAAAAAAAAAGAAAGGAAAAAAAAGAAAATCTTGAGGCTTGTCCAAACCTACTCATGTTTATATTGGAGCCTGTGAGTGACATCAGAGCAGGGAGAGTATAAACACCAGCAGGACCTACTCTGGGCTTTAAAACCTGCGAACACGGCACTGCCTCCAAACTGCCTGGGGGGTGATGTGCTGAAGGGGCACAGGGGACAGCACCATGAGGCTGCAGCTGGAGAAGCAGCTCCTCTTCCTCTCCCTCCTCTGCATTCTTTCCAAGGTAAGGGAGATGGGGCACCGGGGCAGCTTTAGCCGTGGAGCGCCCGGTTCTGGCAAAGCGGGGTGCAGGAGGCACTGGGGTGTCACCACGAGCCCGTGGCTATCGCCGGCCGGCAGGCAGGCTGTGCTGATGCCGGGGCAGAGCCGTGCTCGGCAGAGGTGTTTGGGATGCAGCAGCAGGGTGTGAGCGTTCCTGGGCCCAAGGCTCGGCTGTGCGAGTCCCTGGAGCACGCAGGAATGCCAGCAATGCGCTGCTCGCTCGCCGTCCCTGCAGCTCTCCGGGCTGGGCTGTGCCCGGTCCCCCCGAGCCAGCGAGCAGCAGCTGGGCGGGAGCGGCTCCTCCAGGCTCCTCCAGGCTCCTCCAGGCTCCTCCAGGCTCCTCCAGGCTCCTCCATCCCCGCCCAGGCTCCCGAGGCAGGGGCCAAGCCACGAGCACCAGCCCTGGCATTACTCAGCTCTCCCCACTTCTCCGAATGCTCACGCCAAGCCAGTGCCTCAGATGGGATTTGGGTTGTTGTAGAAATTTTATTATTTTTTTTCCTCTTGGACTCTGTGTGAAAATATTTGCCTGTGTAAAGAACAGGAATGTTGAAAAATTTAGGGCATCTCAGCTTCGAGTTCTAATTGCTGCTTGAATCCCCAAGCAGGGATGTCGTGGCAATGTTGTGCCTACTTGACTCTTTTCCCAGAAAGTTCAGATCTGTCAGGAGCCACATTGTCATCTAAAGACAAGTAAATTACAAGGAGCAGGAGGAAACGGATTTATGGCTTGGCTAATCTTTCTAAAACATTGATTTCTAATAACAGCCTCCTGAAAGATGAAAAATGCCCTTGGCTGCTTGGTAAGCTGTAACAGAGCAATGATTCTTGCCTCAGGTGCTCACAAGTGCTTGGAGAATCACCAAGGACCATCGTGCTGCCAATCCAAACCTGGCCACCACAGCCAGTCCCTAGGTCCCTGCCACATTTATAATGCTGCTCACTGACAGAGCTAGAACAAGACCCAAATTACCCAATCCATTCTGGATATATTTTAACTCCGATTATTGGCACTGACACTTCTATAGCTCCATGAAAATAATCTGAACTGTTGCAAATGGGGAACAGATAGAGCACCAGTAGCTACCCTCTCTGTCTGACTCGTCATGTCAGACCTGATGCCACTGGGAGAACCTGAAAGAAAAAGAAAAATGGTATCTAAAACCTACACGGTCTGGCTGAACCCATTGCTCTCCTGGCAGACTCAGCAGTCATACCAGTACCTGGATCAAGGCAGGGATGCATGTTTTGGTTGCAGATTTGGTTGCATATCAGGCCATGTGCATGGTGCTGAGCAGCAGGGCTGCCAGGGGGCTCTGTCAGGCCAGTATGGCCAAGGATTCACTTCCAAACTGCAGAGCCAACTCTCATGGCCTCAGGCTTTATATGCAATAGCTCTGTCACATGTGACATGATGGGAACTCAAGAGCTGCTTGAGAAATCTGTTGGTGCCAGGGTGAGCCAAGGGTACAAAATCCACCCGCCCAGGTGAACTCCTGTGGGCACCTCCCTGGCAGACAACTTTGGCACAGCCCTGACAAAGTGATTACTCAGTCTAGTCACAAAGGAAAACAGCGCCCAGTCCTTGAGAACGTGCCTATCTCTGGGCTCCTCATCTAGGGGGCCAGCTCAGGTGAGGATGCTGCAGCCAGGGACAAGCAGAGGATGCAGCTGGACCAGTGAGGAATGCAGTGAGGTCTGCCTGGCTTCAAATCCCCACTGCTGATGCAATGTCCTGTTTCATGGCATGAATGAGAGCTCTTAAGACTGTTAGGAGCGAGGTGCTGTGCACTCACCACGCAAATTTAGTCCCTGCAAAGCCACCTCTCCAGCTGGGCACAGCCTGCTGCCTTGGGGGCAGGCATGGGGGTGGGCTGCTTTCCTTCCCTCCCTTCCTCTCTCCCACAGGGCTGCTTAGGGCTACTGACCTTATTAAATAACCACCACTGCCTGGGATGTTCACAAAAGCAAAACAGAGGGGAAAAAGGCCGGAGGGAGAGCTCCATCCTTCTCCTCTGTCTTCAGAGCAGTGGCACATGAAAGTCCCCATCTTGCAGAGTGCTGAGCCTCTGAGCATCCTTGATTCTCCACGGTTTTCCATAGGTGCCCTTCAAAGGGGACAGTAGCTTTCTAGGATGCTCTGAGATATTCCCATGGATTTGCAGAGCCTCCCTCCACCAAAAATCTGCCCCCATGACTGAGACAAAGTTACCTGGCTGTCCCAGTGACAAAGCAGCTGTTAGCCAAAAACCACCTGTATGGATTCAGCTTTTCCTCCACAGGTTTGTGCCCAGCTGTGCCGGAGACCTTGCTACTGCCCCTGGGTGCCACCCCGCTGCCCCCGCGGGTCCCCCCTGGTCCTGGATGGGTGTGGCTGCTGCAAGATCTGTGCTCGGCGCCTGGGAGAGCCCTGCGACTTCCTGCACGTCTGTGACCAGAGCCAGGGGCTCGTCTGTGACTACAGCTCAGCACCTGCAGGGACAGGAGGCACCTGCAACTGTGAGCCCATTTTCCCCGGGGGATACCCACACACTCTAGCCCAGCACACAGCCCAACCCCAGTCGTGACCTCACATGGCTACAGGCATCCCACAGCATCACCAGGGAAGAGGTTAAGGCAAGGAAAGCAGCTTTCCTGAGGATGATACATGCAGCTTGGCCGTGGGGCTGTGACCTATCTCCTGCCAGCTCTTGTGCTGCTTTCTGACTGAGAATTCAGGGTGTTTTCAGTGAGAATGGACAGGGGAGTCCCAGGGATGCTGCAGTCACCCAGCCAAGGCTGGAGTTTGGGAGTCCTGCAGAGAAATCTCAGAGAAACTTTTCCTAGCCTGGAAAGCCTGAAGGCAGGATCAGAACCAAAGGGCGGGGGGGCTCTCACAGCTTGTGAGGTGTTGCTTTGAAAGAACAGAGATGAGAAGGCAGGGAAGGGGACGAGGCTGGGGGATGAACATGCTGCTGCACGCCCATGTCTGCCCTGCACACCGCTCAGTCACTTCTGTGGTCTCCCCACTTCAATCCCTTTGTTCATCCCCACAGTTACCTCCAGCACTGCCCCCTGCCATCCCCATCTCCCTGTCACTCTGTCCCTTACGGGCTCCCCGGCTGTCACTTGCAGTTGAAGATGATGAGGAGGGCTGCGAGGTGAACGGCCGGCTCTATCGAGACGGGGAGGTTTTCCAGCCCAGCTGCAAAATCCAGTGCCAGTGCTTGGACGGGGGCTTCAACTGCATCCCGCTCTGCCAGGAGGATGTCCGGCTGCCCACCCCGGACTGCCCCTACCCCCGGCGCGTGGAGATCCCAGGGAAGTGCTGCCCCGAGTGGATCTGTGAAGCCCAGGACCAGCACCTCCTCCGGGATGCCAGGGCAGGTAAGATGCAGAGCAGCTCCAGGGAGGGGATGCCCACGCAAGTCTCTGGGGATGGCCCCTTCCCCCCAGGCTGTGGAACATCAGCAGGAGACACCTCGCACGTTTCTCTGCCACGCAGGGCTGTGCCTGCAGCACCGCAGGGAACTGCACAGCACCTGCTCCAACCACCCTTTCCCCTGTTGTGTCCTTTTTTGCAGCCCCCGGGGCAGTGTCCCCACTGCTGCGACACCCCTGCCAGGAGTGGGGCACGGAGTGGAGCTCCTGCTCGGCCACCTGCGGGCTGGGCTTTGCCACCCGCGTGTCCAACCAGAACCGCTACTGCCGGCTGGAGACCCAGAGGCGGCTCTGCATGGTCCGACCCTGCCCGGCCCTGCCGGCAGCGTTCCCAGCGGTGAGTGAGGGCCGGGTGGAGCTGCTGCCCCTCGCCACCACGCCTGGCTGACAGAGGGAAGTGCCAGCCAACACGAGCCACGGGATCCCCACTGCCCTGTGGCCCCCCATCAGCCCTCCTCAGCCATGAGCTGACCGTGTCTCAGGGACACACGAACCATCTCCTGAAACTTTGCTTGGGAAACAGCCGATGGCAGTGCAGACCAGAATTTTGGGGTCTCTGGATGTCTGAATCCAGGAGCACTGTGGATCCCACCCAGGTGAGCCCGGCCTGCCCCTATGGCCAGAGATGGACTTGCAGCTCCTGCCTGGCTCCCTGGGCACACCTGGGAGGTGGCTCTGCCACCCCTTTATCAGCCTGGCACAATCCCAGTGTGGACACAGTGCTAATCTGCCTTTCTGCCATGCAGGTAGCACTTTCTGCCCACTTCTTTCCCCCTGCACTGCCACTGCTATGTGGCCCAGCTCCCCAGTTTTGGGGCACACCACCACCCATCTCCCCACTGATCTCCATTCTGTCTTTCCAGACGGGAAGAGGAGGTCATTTGTAGCTGTGCCCATCCCAGATTCACCCTGAAGCCAACGCCTCATCCTGGCAAAGAGTCTGGCACGAACCCATGGCACTGTGGTTATGGTGAAGATGGAGGATGTTTCCATTGGGAAAACAGAGAAGAAATTATCGACTTTGGCTGCAAAGGAGGATGGAAACAGAGAACAAGATCCCTGTGTCACCCATCACTTGCCTCCTCTGTACACCCTGCTGCCCCAGGCAGGGTTACTGGGCAGCATTCCGAGTTCCTTAGGCTGAATGAAATGGGAAATGGGGAAATCCTGCTCCAAGCATAAACCCACCCAAGAAACCGGGAATTGGTCATTTCCTGGATCAGTGAGGCTTCAGAAGGAGTGATGCTGCTTCTCCACCACATCATGCAGCTCTGCTTTGCAGGGACTTCAAGAGAGACCATCTCCAGCACCTGGAAGCCAAAATCCCAGGAGGGAACCCTCATGCCCTGACACCCCCCAGGGAGGGAGCAAGCCATCAAGTTGCACCCCACAAGTCACTGCCACGCCAGGCTGAGCTGCTCAACCATGCGGGAGCTCAGCCAGCCCATGGTTCCCACCCTGCAACCCAGCAGCCGCCTTCCTGGGCATGGGCAGGGTCCTCCTGATGGCAGCTCTAATTCACCTTCCTCTCATCTGTCCAGAATAAACACGAGCCTTCCCGCTCTGCCTGGCCGCCTCCTCTCCAAAGCGCTGGTGGTTTGGCAGGGCTGCGGCGAGCGAGGAGCTCAGACACCGGAGACTCCGCTCCGCAGCACCAGACATACCGCCTGCCATCCAAGCACATTCCCTGCGAGCCGGGGCCAAGCGAAAAGCGGGAAAAGCAGGGAAAAGGGAAAAACAAATCGCAAAGATGAGTCGGTGCCGTCTCCCGACGGGCTGGAGCTGCTCCAGCCACGCAGGAGAGCTGCTCGGCTGCGCTGGTTGTGCTTTCTCCCAGTAAAAAAGTCCTTCTGGGTGATGGAAAATGAAACCCAAATGCCCTCTAATGGCCTCGCACAGATGTGCAGAGGGAACGCGCGTTCCACCGCGGGAAGGGCAGCTGGAAGGAGCAGCGGATTGGGTGATGTGTCCAGGTGAGAGATGGACTTTCTAGATGTGTATTTCTGAACTAAAAATAAAGATGTGCTCATCCAGGTGTGGAGCTTGTCTGTGCAGAGGGAGCCCAGTCTTGCTGCTCAGGGCCAGCTCGGTGGGTGCAGGAAAGGCCTGGCACAGGGTGGGGCAGCTTGGAGGCACCTCAATTCAGGCTGCTTAGAGTAAGAGAAGGAAAAAGAAAAAAAAAAAGAGTGAATCAAAGCACTGAACACATTACTACAGTTTACTATATCCTGGGTTAAACCCTTCACTCTTACCCAGCCATAAGCTCTGCTGCTGGCAGAGCAGTGCCCAGGTCTCCAGTGTTGGGATGTGCAGGAGAGCAGGGCAGGGCATGGCACTGGCTGCACTGCTGCTGCATCTGCAGCCACAGGCACAGCCTCTTCTCAGCCTCCCAAAAATCAATGCCCAAACCCCACTGCAGCTCATCCCTCCTACTGCCAGATCTACACTTCCTCCAGTTGCCCTGAACTGGGATTTCCCCATCATGACACAAACACCATTACCAGCTGACTGTGCTCCAGACCAGAGCAGATCTGGGGGTGAAAGGGCTGAATGGCAGGGGGAGCTCCTCTCCCCAGCCCAAGGAAAAAAACCTCCCCAGCAGCAGCAGAAAAAGCAGCAGAGACAAGGCAAGTCACCTACTCCCTCAAGCCTGCAAGAACCGAAAATAAAATGAAAGTCAAGGAGATGGTTCAGTCACCTCTTGGGGGTAAAAAAAAAAAAAGAGAGAAAAGAAAAAAGAAACCTCACTGCTCTCACAGTAAAACATTGCCTACAAAGAGAATTATTTACTGCAATCATCTGGTGCTCAGCCTGAATACAAATCATTAATTCTGTTTGATACGGGCACATGGTGAACCTCCAGCAGGCAGCAAATCGTAGAACAAACAGCTTTGGTTGACTTTTCTACTTCTCTGGTGGCCATGCAAAACAAGTGGTGACCTAAAGCTCATGTTGACTTCAAAACTACCACATTTCTCAACTGACGTGGATGAAACATGTTGTGGGTACTGAAAATCTTGGTTTTAAGCCAGTTCTTATTCGAGCATGTTGGGACTCAGCCACCAAGGCTGGGTGAGCTGCCAGGGCTGTCACACACTCCCAGATCCTGCCTAGCCACTTCTGGGTGATGGTAAAAATCAGAAGGTCACTTTTTAGAGAGCAACCTGCAATTCTCATCTCAAACAAATGACTCAAAACACCTCTGCTATAATTATCTTTTTTTTTCCCCTGCAGAATGTCTCTCTGATTCACTGAGCATCTAAATAATGAATTAATGATTCCAAATAAATCAGAGTTATTTTTCCCTATGAATACAGGGAAATCAACTCTTGCAATTTGATTGCCAGTCTCGCAATATTTCCCTCTAAAGCCCTGCTACCCTGGAAACGTGGTTATTTGAGGCTCTGACGCAGGGTCCTGGCTTTGCCTGCTCATGTGGGGCAACAGAGAAATATTCCACACCATCTACAGGTAATGTGTAAAGATAAAAATCCCCAAACCAAAAGAAAATTCACTGCTGTCCTCGAGGCACAAGGCCACATCTGCACACAGCCTGGGATCTGCCATCCACACTCCTGAGCCAGAGATGAGCAGCAGATCACAGCTCATTTCTGTGCCAGCACACGCAGCAGCTGAAGGAATACTGTCCTACTGGATGAGCAAACAACATGCATCAGAATTTCTTTTCCAAGCTATTCTCATGAGTGATGATTTTTAAATGTATAGAGTTGGACGAGAGAGGGCTGGATGAGCCCTTATTAAAGTGAAGCATTTTCAGAAACTGAGCACAGGAATGCAGTGCTCAATTGAAAAAATATCAAGTAGATCAAATGGGTTTTTTATTTTTCCTGGAAACACATGATTCAGGTTATGTGTTTGCAGGAGCTGTCTTGGCCCTGTGTTCTCATCCTGACATCAGCACTGCTGTTGCCTGCCAGAGCCAGGAGCCAGAGGGGAGTGTCCTCATGCAGGATGTTCGGGCAGAGCTGGCAGTGGCACCTGTACTGCGAGTGAAACCATGGGTCAAGTGAACACCTTAAACACACAGGAGGCAGGCATGAGAGAAAACTCTGTTCTCCAAGGGGTCCAGGGAACAGGAGATGTGGAGGGCATGGGGGCTCCAGCCATTCGTGGGCAGTGCTCCCCATGCCCTGCCCTGCTCCTCTCTTCCCATGTCTCTGCCTCAGTTTCCCCAAAGGTTGATGATCTGGGACAAAGGGAATTGGTCCCAGTCTGTTCCTCTCATCCTGCTGCCCTTCCAAACCTCCATAAAATTGCTCTGCAAGTGACACCCCAAGCCCAGGCTGCAGGAGCAGCTGAAGTGCACAGAGGTGAAGGGGGCAGAAGCAGGGCAGAATGGAGAATCGCTTCCCTGAGAGGTGCACTCCCATGGACTCCCTCTGCTGCTGTCACTCCGGGAGCACAGACCACCAGAGGCTCTGCAAACCGCAGAAAAGCCATATCTTCACTACACGGAAACCTTCTACACTTTATCTTCTCGGTGGCATAGTGCTGAGATTTTATAACTCAGGCAGGAAATAACACACAATGTTTTGCACCTCTTATCTGCTCCAGCAAGCACTTTCCGAAATCAACAAACACACTGGTACTCTCAACACCCAGCTAACATCTTGGGCTTCCCCGCCGTGTCCCCGAACCGCCGTCCAGCGATGTCCAGCTGCTCCCAAGGAAGGACGGATGGGCAGTGGGGATGGCTGGGCAGGACTCGCCCTCCCTCCTCCTCCTCCTCCTCCTCCCCACTGATTGCTGAGATACCAGCCTCCTCCCACTCCCTGCCCGGATTCAATTCTCGGAAAGCTGGCGGCCGTGGCCCTTCCACAACCTCAAGTCATTTCCCCAGGGTGGTCCTATGGCTTATCAGGGCAAACATCCTTGTTGATTGCTTCCCTGTCAACTCCGCACCTGCAGATTAAAGTGATTTCCGGCCCCGTTTATGCTGCAGCAGCTGCTCAGCAATGCAATCGAGGCAGCCTTTCCTCGGGGTCACTGGTTTCAGCCTTTGCCCCCGTTCCTCGGTATCTGGGTGTCTCCTGCATTACGGTGCCGGTGACAGGACAGGAAGGGCACAGCCCATCTCATTCTCCATGCACGGGTCGGCACCGCTGAAAGGAGGAACGCGGAAAAGGTTTTTGTGCTTGGAGAGGAAGATAGAAGTAGGCAGCAGGAGCAGCTGTAGGGAGGGGGAAGCTCTTGAGCAGGCTCACTCTGCCTGTCCGGGGGCACACAGCCTGGTACATCTCTGCCTGCGGCACCGGGGATAGCAGCATGAGCCCCGGGCAACACTGCCAGTCTCCTCCTAACCTCTGCTCCCGGTATTTCTGAGCCTTGGAGCCAGGAAAAAGGCTCTCAGGAATAGCAGTGAGGGTGGCTCATGGGGTGCAGGTTGCAGCCCCCGGTCTGGAAAACTGCGAGGTTTCTCCTGACCGCGAGTGGGACAGAACAGAAACAGGCTGAAAGCTTTGTCCCCTCCTCAGACATCCCTCTGCCACCTCCCTGCCTCCCGCTCCGTCCAGGCACTCCCAGCACCCAAAATAGCCAAGGGGCTGCGTGTCCCTGGTGCCCGGCTCCGGGTGCCTCAAGTGGGCTGGGGGGAGGCGCCGAGGGAGCGGCGGAAGCTCCGCTCAGGCTGCTTTCGGCACATCCTCCCGTGCCCCGGGGAAAGTCCGGCAGCCCCAAGTCCCGGCAGGAGCGGAGAGCCGAGGGGAGACGCAGCCTGTGCCGGAGGACACTGCGGACACCGCTGCCAGCCCTGTGCCAGCCCTGTGCCAGCCCTGTGCCAGCCCTGTGCCAGCCCTGTGCCAGCCTTGTGCCAGCCCTGTGCCCCATGGCTGCCGAGGCTCTCTCCACGTGGCCCGGCAATGGCAGTCGGGCTTCTTGCCCCGTGGATTCCGCCTTCGCCCAGCGCTTCCTGCCCGCCGTGTACCTGACCGTGATCCCCCTGGGGCTGCTGGGGAACGGGCTGGGGCTGTGGCACCTCTGCACGGGACCCCGCGAGGGTGCCCGCCAGCCCCTCAGCCTGCTGGTGGCCAACCTGGGGCTGGCTGACCTGCTCTATGTCAGCACTCTGCCCTTCCTCGTCAGCTACTACCAGCAAGGCAGAAAGTGGATCTTCGGGCAGGTTTGGTGCCGCCTCACCCGCGGCTTCTTCCATCTCAACCTCTACGCCAGCATCGGCTTCCTCACCTGCATCAGCATCCATCGCTACCTGGGCATCGTGCATCCGCTGAAGGCACGGGGCAGGTGCCAGGGTGCAGCCTCTTCGGTGTGGCTCAGCATCACGGTCTGGGTGTGGGTCATTGCACAGATAGCTCCTGATCTTGCCTTCAGCAAGACAAATGCCGTGGGGACGCAGTGCCATGACACGACAGGACAGGAGCACCTGGGCACTTACTTGCCCTACACCTTTGCTGTCACCGTGACTGGGTTTGTCATCCCGTTCCTCATCATCATCGGGTGCTACTGCCACGTGGTGTTTGTGCTCTGCAGGAATGACAGCGTGGACCCCAGCCTCAGGAGGAGAAGCATCGCACTGGTGGTTCTCGTCATGGTTCTCTTTTCCGTCTGCTTTCTCCCCTACCACATCTTCAGAAACCTCAACTTGTTTTTTCGCTGGCGACCGCAAGGGTCCTGCACACAGGCTTCAAAGGTCTACATTTCCTACCAGGTGACTCGGGGCCTGGCCAGCCTCAACAGCGCTCTCAACCCCCTGCTCTATGTGGTTACCAGCAAAGACTGGAGGTCACGAGTGAGGACCGTCCACCAGAGCGCCAGGCAGTGTCTGAGGTCATTCTTCGGGAGCAAAACCTCTTGCCAGGCAGCTGAGAAGAGAGACATCATTCATTGTAAGGGAGAGGCTTCTAACGAGCTCTGACACCTGACACCCCTGCTTCTGCAGCATCAGCTTGTGCTTGGCCCCTCCCTGGGGGCAGCCCCTCACCTTGACACCTGCTTTGCAGAGATGGTGACAGCAGCGTCACGGGCTCCGTGCACACAAGGGACAGGCAGGACTGTCAGCACCGAAGAGAAAACTGGGACCAGATTTTAAAAGCAAAACTACTCAACCCAACCATTTTGCCTGCAGCACGCCTGGAGATGGTAAGAGATGATCACGTTTGCTCCTGTACAAAGTATTTCCTTCCTGCCTTTCAAGCAGCAGTCTGAGCTGGTTAACATCCCCTCAATGCCCAAATCCTCTGTGACTGAGGGATGGATGGGAGGGAATGACACCTTGTCCCTTCACTGCATCCTCTCTACTCTACTGTGCATGGCTTTGAGACAGGATTCCCTCTTTCATCTAAGGAGAGGTCTTGCGTTGCAGAACAGCTGAGAGGGCAAATTTTTGCAGCAGGGGAAGAGCCTTGGAAGTGGAAATATTAATTTTAAAATCAAGTTTTAAGTACATTACTAAGTTGTTCCAGTTCTGGGGTGACTGAGCTGTTTCAGGATCTGTGGGATCCTCTACTGCCCACATCCTTTGCAGAAGAAAAAGAACATTTTTGCCATTACTCCCTCTCTTTTGGAAGAGCACACAGCCGAACTAACAAATGGGCATTTATAGGTTTTGGAAGCTATTGGTTGGGGTTTATTTTGGAAGGTAAATGACTGCAGTACCCTGAGCTCCTGCTTTCAGTAGGAAAATGCCAAGAGAGTTTACAAATCTTCAGGTGAGTGCTTGCATCTTGCATCCAGCTTTGCAAGAGCATTAGATGTGACTTATAAAAATTAGATGTGCAAATAAAAAGAGAAGCAGCACTGGTGTGAAGGCTTGTGAAGGCAGAGTGTGATGGCAAGGGCAGATATCTGTCATCACCAGGGGTTGCAGGTCTCTTTGAGGTGAGCAGAGGCTCCCAAGCAGCATTTTGGTTTTTAATAGTGGTGTTACCCACTACAATAGCTTGAACAATTCAATAATGTGATTTGCAGCAGGCAGCTTTTGGAGCCCAGCTGAAGGAAGTGGACTGAGAATTAAAATCAGCCCTTTCTGGGAAAGCACTGACCCATGGACGGATGTCGTGCTCTTTTCCTGACATTTATCTCTGTCACTGCTCCTCACATGGACCCACCTTAGCTGGGCAGTGGAGGGAGCACAGCTGGCTTTCCGTGCAGTTTATATGTCTACAGTGCAAATAAACACCTCGTGCTTTCAGTTGTGAGTCGTCTGGCTTCTTTTAAAGCTTTATGGGAAGCTGGGAACCATCTGGCCTGAGGGTTGGAGCAAGGGCCTGCCTGCTCAGGGAGTGGTGATGATCTTCCCAGTGCTCTGCAGACAGGGAACTGCTGGGAGACTGCAGGCAGTGGGTGGAGAGTGATCTGTGACAGGCACACACTGAGGAGTCTGCTCAGCTCCAGTCAGGGGTCCAGCAGAGCCTGAAACGTCCAGCTCTCACTTCATCCAGAGGAAAACCAAAGATAAATTCATAAATTCACCAATGAACTCTCTCTGTAGTAGGGAGATTGAGACATTAGGATCAGACCTCTCCTTGCACACATGCTCCAGATCTGGGCTTCTGCAGAGCTCTGAACTCTCCTCCTTTCCTCAAAAAACACCCACGCCTCTGAAAGCTGCCCAGCTCTTCCATCTTCACACATGGATCCTGTCTAAGGTGCTACAGCTCCCCACAGAACCAGCCTTGGCTCCCACAGCCCATGGGAGCTGTGACACCCTGTCACTGCCCCCACTTTGGTCAGGATTGATTGAATAAAGCATCACTGCATGCTGGGGAGGAAACGCTGAGTAGAAGTGCCAGCAAACTCTGCTCTCAGCCCCTGCATCCTTGTGCCCAGATGTGTCTTCTTGCCTAATCCAGTGCCCCCTCCCTTCACTTTTAATCATGATTTAAAGATCTGTGTCCTAAGAAGGATCTCTGAGCCCCAGGGACAGTTACAGGTACAAATCTGCACAGTTTTGTGTATTCTGTATCTGTCAAAGCAGCAAAAGCCAGTAAGGATCTGTGTATTGATGTCTGAGCTATTTAGAGTCGGATTTTTAATTCTTTTTTTAATCTACAATTTCACAGTCCCCTTGATTCTCAGATTGTGCTGCTTCCTATATGAACTGGAAGGAATGAGCTTTCCCTTTATAGGCGTGTGTGTGATTAAGGTTCAACTCCTGGCACATGAGCCTCTCCACAGCTGATGATGGGGCAATAAAACCACCCTCCTTCCTCCAGCCTTCCCTCCCCCATCCCTCCTTCCTGCCCTCGCTGCCAGGGATGTTCCTTCCCTCCCAAAGGCAGCTGCTGCTCTCTGTGGGACAGGGAGGTGTGTGGGCACTGCTCCCCCCTCAAAACCTCCCAGCTCTCTCTGGCACCAGGGAATGTGATCATCCCTGGAGAAACCAGCATGGGCAGCACCCAGTCTGTCCCAGCTCCCACTTGTGGCTTGGGAAGAACTTTTGGGAGTGGGTAAACGGGCAGGGAAGGTGGGGAGCTGTCATAATCCTCCTTCTCCCAGCTCTCTGCCAGACACTGGCAGGGCCACACACAAGCATTTGCTGCTGACAGGAAGGGGCCAGTGCCACTGGAGAAGCTGTGCCATGGTTGCCTCCTGAATCATCACCCCTTTTGGGCTCCTGGCTTATGATGTGCTGAACGTTCCTCTTTCCCTCCCTTGGCTGTTGACAGACCTTTAAAATGTCTAAAAGCAAGTGAGAGGAATCCCACCTGCACTCTCTGCTTTTCCCACAGCCTCTCTGGTACAGCAGCATGGAGCAATGGTCTTGTCTGCAAAATCAAGCTGAAAGCAGATTTTTAACTCCTTTACCAAGATTAGACCCAACCAATAAATCAAACACGGTGGGAATTCCCCTCCTGACACTAATGGGATCAGGATCAAGCCCGGAAATTTGGCAGCATTTCTTGCTTCATTAAATAAACCGCTCTTGGTTGAGGATATGTTGCAAACACAGTCAGGGTTTGTTATGTTACAGAGAACTTTTAAGCTGACAGCCCAGGGAAGCCAGTCAGGCAGAAATTACAGGCACATGTACAGATGCACAGATGTACAACCGCTTTCTTCCTCCAAAACGCAGAACTGGTGGTTTTTTGGCATGCAAAATACTCTACAAGAAGAAAATATTGCTATCAGCAACATCTAAATGCACAGGAACTCAACTCTGATTAATTCTTTATTTCATTTTGCACACATTAGATAAAATCTGGCTCTGACTGAGTTCAGGGGTGTTGATATGGCCAGTTTTAGCAATCAGGAAGCCCTGATTGCTAAACAAGTGTGGGTTGGCTGCCCTGTGCTGAGAGCATGGACTCATGCCTTTGTGTCAGAGACTTCCACAGCCTGGGAGAGCAGGAACTGCTGCACACAGGGGCTGGGGGTGCTGGGAACATCATTAAGGGACTGAGATGGTGCCCAGGTCCCTGTTGGACAAACAGGCCATGGCCATAATGGGAGAGCCCTCAGGCCCAAGTGAGGTGTGAGCACTGTGTGTGAAGCTGGAGGAGAAGCAGCCAGAGCAGGAGGCTCCTGCAGGACGTGGCTCCCCATTACTCCAGGCACAGCAGCAGAACTTTGTGGAGCATCTTTTACAGTGTGGTGGGAGGCTGCAGTGTGCACACAAAAAGGAGTGAGTCACTCAGGTCACTAATGAAAGGTCACAGCATCCTCACATTCTGAGAGGCATTTATTTCTCCAGCAAAGCAATTTCATTGCTGAAGTACCTTTGGCTGCAGTGACAATAGAGCTGACAGGTTATCTTATTTACCAAGGATATCGATCCGACTGGGAAGGAATAGTAGATGCAATTATCCAGGTGAACTGGGAAAAATGGTAAATATACCTGCCACTGGGTGCTGTTGGTGAATATTTTAATAAAATAGAAAAAGCTGATTCTTTGTCTATACTACGTGGAGTGCTTTGGCATCCGAGGGACCAACAGCTTGTGCAGGAGAGAGCAAATCACAGAAATAGCACAACACTTAGCGTGCCTGTGTGAAGCCATCAGTCCAATGCTTCTCCTGCAGTGCGTGCAGCTATAAATAGGTGATGCCGTGCTGCGCGGGACCTGGGCAGCGTGAGAGCGAGGAGCGCAGGGCCAGCCCTGGCCGTTCCATCCCCGGCCGTTCCATCCCCACCGTTCCATCCCCACCGCTCCATCCCCGCCGTTCCATCCCCGCTGCTCCATCCGCTCCATCCCCACCGCTCCATCCCCACCGCTCCATCCCCACCGCTCCATCCCCGGCCGTTCCATCCCCGCTGCTCCATCCCCGCAGTTCCATCCCCAGGCTACATCGGTACGTGCGCTACAGAGCGACTGCGGCTGCACCCTGCGGGCACGGATCTGTCCTGGAGGACTCGCCGAGCCCAGGTATACAAGAGTTGTGCCATTTTCCACGCCATTTCTTTAAATATTCCCCGCAGCAAGCGCTCCTTGCTCCAGATCGCTGCTCAAGGCAGGCGCCAGTGCAGGAGTGGGGCAGTGAGAAACCCCCGGGAGATGCTCAGTGCACCACGACCTGTGCTGCTTCCTCAGCATCCTGGGAGGAAGCTATCATTTGAATTTTGCCCAACACCTCCGCTCTGTCATGAGCAGGAGACACTGAGATCCAATCTGGCTCCCTGAAGAGCCCTTCGTGCCAATGCACAGCCCAGCCAGCGTGAAATTCTTCTGCTTGTTTGGGCTTACGGGCAAAAAGTTTACCCTAAGGAGCATCAGAGAGCTCCCAGGCTTTCCAAAGGCACCACAGCTCCTCCTTGGAAAGGCTGCTTCCATGCTGTGCTCAGGACATCCAAGGACAGGAGACAGATTAACTCTGTCCTGGCTGTCTTTGCTCACGTGTGGCGGTGCAGAGGTGCACCTCTGTGCTCAGCAGAGGTGGGACAAGCACTCACCACAGCTCCCAGTCTGCTCTTACCAGCACAGTCCACCTTACAGAACCTCCGTGTCTCCGGTCCAGGCAGTGGGGAGACAGTCCCATGGCAACGGGAAGCTGCTGGCACGGAGGAGAGCTCAGGGGTAGGTTCACTGGTGGGGATGCCAAGAGCCAGGAATTGTCACTGAATGAAGTGTCACTGGGTTTGGAGGCAAAAATCCCCCTTTGAAAGTGTATAGTGCTGGCCACACAGTGCCATCCTGAGAGTCCAGAGGAGATGGGGATGCAGTTCCTTTGGGATGCAGCTCATCCATGAGCCTTTGGCTACCCAAGACCCCAGCAGGTCTGCACTACCCATCATGAGGTGCTGCAGCTTCCTCGGGGCTGTTGGCAGAAAGAATTTTTCTGTGTGCAAAGCTGAAACAACAGGTCCATCCCTGTAGCCACTATCCCACTGCACTGAGCTGGGATGTGAGAAAAGCTCCGGCAGGGTGCCCCAGGGCAGACACCAGCAGCACAAGGGGCACAGTGAGGGAGAGGGGCTTCACGAGCTCAAACATTTTTTCCCTTTCCAGCGGGGCATGTAGAAGCAGAGGGTGGCCCATGGACCAGCAGACCACCTGGGAGTACAGGACACATCCTCTCCCAAAGGCACAGCACTGGGATGAGTGCTGGACTTGCAGCCACACCTGCCAATCCCAGCCTGGGGGAAGTTCTCATTGCTCCAAAAAGGGGGCTGCTCATACGTGGTTCTCAAGCCAGAAATCCCCAGATGGCCATGTCCTGAGTCTGTGCCCCGTGCTCTGTGGAGATGCACGGGCTACCCAGAGCATCACCTCCTGTCATTGCTCAATGCCTCAGCTCCCGCCTCAAGAGACACTTGAACAAAGGACCTAAAGCCGGTTAAATGGTTCAGATCACAGAGAAGCTTCTGGCTTATTTTTCCATTTACCTCAGGTGGTTTTCCTGCCTCCAAAAAACCCTATTGTTAATTTAATTCCCTCTGACTGATTCATGGCAGATCTGGCGTCCCAATGCCAGGAACAGCTGTGATTCCTGTGCCACCATTTGCTGCGCCCCAGGTACCACATGGCCCCTGAGCATGGCTGCAGAGAAAGGGCCAGGGCTGGAGCAGGGGACAAGCAGCTGGGCCAAGCTAACAGAGGGACATTTTTGCATTTGCAATTCAGAGAGGATGTATCTTATCTCCCCAGTTAATACTTGCAGAGAAAAGCCTGGAGAGAAACAACTGGAAACTCTTTGTATATAAACAAGAATTAGTAAAATCTGCAGTTTTAAGGTGGAGGAAGAAAGAAATCCCTGACATGGTGCTTACACTGCAAGAGAAAACAAATATTTCATTTTGTTCTGTTCATTCCCCACTGGGAACCCGCTGTGCTCTCAGGC